ATGGTAGCTTATTTCCTTCCACCACGCGGGCCCTGGGAATGGGACTCACGTCACCGAGCTTGGTGATAAGCTCCTTTACCTGTGGAGCCGCCGTGCTGGCCATGAAGTCGGTGTTACGAAGTGTGTCACATTTATAGCAAGAGCCAGTACCTCATTGTTTCCCTGTGTTGTTTCATGATAGACATGTCCCAAGCTATGAAAAGATGTTTATACATGTGCACAGGCTGTCAACAATGCGTCCTTCCTGACGCTTCCTGTCCACACCTGGGACAATTGTTTGTCTCGCTCACATTCCGTTCGAGCCAAAACATTGCTCTACTTAGTGAATCTTTCTGCCAGGAGGGAGCCGGTCTCTCACATCTATTCTCACACTTACGCAAACCCTATATTGCACAAGTGTTACACTTCAACACACACAGAAAATCTGTGTGTACCCCAGCTTTCTCCTCTTACTTAATTTTTACACTTTCCTCCTTGCTTCGTGGGTGAACATTCTCTTCCTTCCCTTACCTGCGATAGCTGTGCACCAAAGTGCAACCAAAAGTGTGTTGAGATGCATAATTAATAGTGGTATAAACAGCAAAACTAAAAAAAAGATAAAATACTGTCAACAATTTCATACCCCTTTTTTACTGTACATTAAAATTTTTTACGTAGACTTTTTCCTGTCTTAAAGCATCCTCAAATATCTGGACTCTACAAAATTTCAAATCAACTATGACTTTTATCTCAATACGTCTTTTAAGTATCTAATTTCTGCTCCAGGCCTAGCTCTAAAGGCTGTGGTACCCTAATTATTGTCAGCTGCCTAAGGATACTTTGGCATTCATTGTCATTATAAGAAAGCGGTGGTCCTAGGATGGGGTGGTGGTGGCCGCGCACACCTTTAATCCCAGCACTCAGGAGGCAGAGGCAGGCGGATCTTTGTGAGTTCGAGGCCGGGGTGGACTGACAGCCTCCAAAACAATACACAGAAACCCTGTCTCGTAAAACCAAAAGAAAGAAAAGAAAGAAAGTGGTGGTCCCAGGGTCTGAGCATTGTCTGTACCACCTCTTCTTAGGGGATACGGAGCTCACATTTCCACGGCTTAGTTTTTCTCCAGTTCAAAGAGCTGTGGCACAGTGCTTCATAAATGCTAGTATGACTAGTTATAGCGGAATGCGGAGGTCAAAATAGTACCTAGTCTTTATGTTTAAAAAAAAATCTACCTTGAACTGAACATGTTTGGGGTAGAAGTGTATTGCCTGTGATGTGTTGTACAGATACATAGTTCTGGTGTTCATGCCAGTTTCTGCAAGAACCTTGGATGCATTGTTATACATTTGCTTACTCTACCCTATAGGCTAACCTTTTTAGTCAGCAGAATTTATTGCGTTACTCAGTTACTTTAAGATTTTGTAGTGTCTCTTCTTGCTAATCTTTTTTGATAGTAGCATCAACATCCTGATTGGTCTGCCCTACAGTTAATACATTCTGCCACCACGCATGAAATACTCTTGTCTTCTAAAAAACTTCGGACACGTTCAACTTCTAGTTTTTGTTCACTTAGTTTATTCCAATGAAAAAGAGAGTTACATCATAGAAATTGTTCAGGCTATTTTTTTCCGGTACATGTTGTGAATTCGCCTGCTTTGATATTGCTGTTTTGGATATCTTGACAAATAGAACTTAATTTTCTATTATCAGCCTCAATGTCATTTCCACTTGTCATGCTTCTACATTCTACACATCCCCTTTATAGCACCACTTCCCAACAATTAATACAGATATCAACTGACTACTACATACTTTCTATGGCAGAGACAATTGCCTATTTATATTTTTAGTCTAGGGCCATGGGGGTATTCCTAGTTAACTAACCATGACTAAGGAAGCAATGGAACATAGAAGAGAATGTACTATAACTACTTTCTTATACAAATCTAATTTCTAAATGCTTATCCTTATGCCCACGGGTAAGTATGGCTCTCAACCTTCATCAATGAAGCTTCCTTTGCAACATACGGAGACAATTGCAGAATGCCACAAACGGTTATGATGGAGAGAACAAATGAGCATGGGATGCACAGCTTCAGTTATGCACCTACAACACAACCCTTGCACCTAAGGCTCAGACAAATCACAGAAGAAGAGACAGAAAGGTGGTGAGAGCCGGAGGACTAGGATGTCTCCTGAGAGACCGCATCTTCAGTAAAGGACAGAACAGCTACAGCTACGAAATCTCAACAATATAGGACATTCTACAGAACTTGAAAAGAATGACAACACCAGTTGACATGCCAACATGGGTGAAAGAACACTCACAATGCCCTATCACTAGATAGAAAGCTACAGTCAATTGACAGAGGGAGAATTAGTCTTCCCAAGCGGGAATAGACTTAGTTGGTTATACACTATCTAGTAGTCAACCCTAAAAACATAAACATGCAAGCAACACTAAATGGGATGAATTCAGGGATACACACACACACACACACACACACACACACACACACACTTACAGCTGTAGAATAAGAAAACATTACTGAACCAATTGTTTTTTATCACTTCTTAGTTGAATCCCTTCATGTGTTCTCCAAAGATATAAAATACCTTTAACAGGGGAGACATTGTACTGACTCATGCCTTGCATTCAATGCGCAATACATTAATATCAGTCTCAGTGATGAGAATGGTGAGGATAATGATGATAAAGGTGACCAATGACTACCTGTTAAGTAACAAATTGATTCAATGAGATTAAACGTATTATGTCTAAATCTTGTTCCCTTGGAATCATGTAAGCCATGTTCTATGTGACTTGTTTAAAATGGACTCTTGTCATACAGTTATGGAAGTGAGTTATAATGAAAACATGTGTCTGGTATTTCTAAAAGAATCAAATCCTGTATTGATTATGATGGTGATGTTTATGATACAGGAAGGAAAGCAACTTGTAATTTTAAATCACTTGGCATCTTTATAGCTGAAATCCTACCCAGACATTTCTTACTGACATAGTGCCAAGCTTGCAAAGACTCATAAGAAATATGAAGTCTATCTATTTAGAGATGAAAAATTCAACAAAAAGATCTTCATAGTCAATGTATAATCTACACTTTTCAGTAGCTGAAAATGTAATATTTTAAGTTTAAATCTAAAGAACATATTAGCATACCTACTGAAAAGGAAGTTGGAAGAGGAAAATCACTATTTAGCAGTTTTGGAAGACATTACATCTCAGGTAATGACTACTAAATCAAGTGAATACAGACCTCTTTCTTTAAATAGAAATGGCACTTAAGTTAATGCATTTTTAAAAAGAAATAATTCCCATTACCAATTATGTTCAGAGTGAGAAGAAATTGCAAGTCACAGGTCCTTCAGGGTTTTTTTTATTTTATTTTTAGAAGGCAGTAGAAGCAGAGACAACAACGTGTTTGGGATATGTATTTTTCAAAGAATTCATGAAAGCCATGATTATCAGCTCATTGGTCATCAAAGGCCAAAACCAAAAATTTATTGATGTTAGTGATGATAATCATGGCAGTAAAAGTATCTAAATCACAGAAAGGCAATGGTGTCTCTAAGTGCTCTGGAGCAATTTGTAATGATTACTGGGAATGCACACTGATATATTGGAAGCAATATTTTGAAGGTCATTCAGCTATCAGCTTGCCTTCATGCTATTCAATTAAATACATGCTAAAACAATCTATGATTATTTATGGAAAGTATTTTGTAGTGCTTGTAGAATAGTATATTACAAATTCTGGCTGGATGTACAAGCAGAAACGGCTGATCTAATGCACCATTAAGCAAACTGCATCTTTGCTGCACATTTTTTAAGCATTAGACTAATTATGATGAGGTTTGGATTTTACTATATACTGCATATTTAATCTTTTTAAGAGCCTATCAAGTTGAATCACAAGACACAACTTGTTTATGTTATAAGCAACAACATGCAATATTAACAAAGCACAATATCCTAGCTTAATTAGAAGAAGTCCATGTGTTCTTAAATACATTTAGGAGTATAATGCTACACAGCTCTAATGTGAACTTAGTATTTAATTATATTTGAAACTAATTTCTATGACTTGCAACATTTTTCCCCTTCTCCAAATTCTGTATAAATGTTTCACTAATGACCTATTTAAAAGTGGCCTTTGTTGAGGATTATGGGAAATAAGAAACACAAAGTGAGGCTTTTTGGCAGGGAGAAACACTGGCTGAAGTGATCACACTCACTTCAATGGGATTACCAGATGGTGTTTGTTTATCCTAACCAGTCAATTCTCTGAACTGTACCTTCTCAAGACCCTTCCCACTGGGCTTTGTCTGGCCTCCACCAAAGATATTCTATGTGCAGTATCTACTCATAGAGAAGAATCTTTTTTTAAATTCCCTTCTCTTCTCCTTCCTTCCTTCTCTCCGTAATTCTACCCCTTCGCCTAACCCTTTAAGTCTCTTCCCAACTCTTCTCCTGTCTCCCTATGTTTCCTTCTCCTTCTATCTTTTCTTCTGAGAGGATCTGTATTGGCCAGGCTGCCCCCAGATCTGCAATCTTTCTGTCTGCCCTTCCACAAAGAATTCTGATTACAAGTGTGCGCCAGCACAACACAACTCTATTTCCTACGCTTAGCATCAAATTGAAATTAAGTAGTTAGCTTCTACAGAAAACATCCAAGGAGCTCACATGCCAGTATCGACTGGTCTTTGGGAGCTTTCAGGGCTATTAACTCTCTTCTTTGTGCTTAGACTCTCTGGCTTAATGACAGCAATCTTTAAGTCTCCAAATACAAAAAAATATGGTGGGGTAATCAATATCAACGCTAAAAATACATTTTGATATAAGAAGTTCGTGCTTGTTGGGCAGTTGACAGAGCTTCTTTTTCAGATTCACACAACTTTAACAGCACAGGTAAAAGCAAGTCCATTTCTGGAGAGCAGAGAGGAGTCAGTCACCTCATACCTGAATCTCATGAGCAGATCAAAAGAGGTCAAGACTACTCACCTTCGCAAATGGTGACGCCATTTCCAGAGAACCCCACACTGCAGAAGCAGGCTTCCATGCCATTGTGGATTTCACACTTGGCATTTGGTAGACACGGTGTCTTGGTGCAATTTTGTGCGCAGGAACAATTCAACAAAGTGGAGAAACCCACTAAATAAAATCAAGACGCAGACCTTGTCAAAAAGCAAGAGACTTCCTACCCTTGTGTTCAAGACCAACACAAATGCTCTTATGTCTTTTCATCCAGAAAGGTGATTTATGAAATTGTCTCAATGACTCATTTAGTTAAATCATAGGAGAAAAGTGACTAAGCCTAAAGATTAAGGGATGTATCATGAAAATTTCAGTAAAGCTAAAACATGAATGAGAATCCAGCTTTATAATAAAAACCATGAGGTCATCCAGTCCTGGAAACTCAGTATCCCTTGCCGCTGGAGAGAAGTGGTTACTTGCAAAGGTATTGCCTGATTGCAAAGCAATTTCCCTTCTGCTGTTTTGGGAGTTGCCCTTTCCCTCCAGAAATCAAGGTAAATTGAGTATCTAGGGCTCCACAAACTAAAATCTTTCATTCTAAAGACATTACTTGTCATATCTAGGAGAAGAAATGCACTTCCCTTCCCTTCTCCCAGCATTCTGGCAACCATCATTCTGCCCTTTTCATGACGAAAAATGCCTTTTTTATTGGTATCTTGTATTAGGAGAAATTAACACAAAATTCAACACACTGTTGTACGATTGATCTCTCAGCCACATAACACCTGCCCAACATGACAAACAGAACAATGTTTTGAGGACTGTTAGGAAATGATAAGCAAAATTATAGAGTGTTTCTTTTTATTGTCTTGTTCCAGGCTCACTTAAGAGCAAGCTTGGACCGGAACAGGGATGAATCACAAAGCTATTGTTCCAAAGACAGTGTTATCTTGGACAAATTGTCCTTATCTGGTACCCAGAGATCCTTACACAGTCAATCCTAAATCCCAGCCCTTTACTATATGTACTTCCTAAACTTGGATTCATTTGCCTTCATATAAGCCATTTATTATCTCTCCCCAATGCATCATCAGAATAAGGTTTTATAATGAACTCAAAGTCCAGGCAAGCAGTAGACTTAAAAATGTCAGGAAGCCTCTCTCAAGCATTTGCGGTTTAGATTTCCCAAGTTTCTTGTAGGATATCACAAGAAAGGTCAAAGTCTGAGTCTTCGAGGACTTTGGGGATTTCTCCAGGAAGAATAAAGAGGTAAAAAGCCTTGGGTCGTGAGGAGCAAGGTCCAGAGTGTAAAGGCCAAGCAGGAAAACATCCTGTGAAAACCCGAGTCTGTTTTCCTTGGAGACCTTGCCAGACACACTTAACACTTGAACCCCAGCTGATCTCCCTCCCTGGCTCCCTGCAGGTGGGCGCTCTATGGCCTCCCAGGCCCAGCCCATACTCACCTAGAAGCAGGAGGAGTCTCATTGGAAGCCTCCTAGCTCTCAGCTGAATGCTCAAGGCTGGAGTGCGGGTCTGTCCTGAGCTGGGCAGGCGCGGCAGGGTCCTGCTCAGTCCCCTGTGACGCACAGCTTCCTCCTATCACTTTCCGGCCTCTTTTGTGTGATTATGTGCACAGCCCTGAGTCTGCAGGCCACGTCCGGCGCCAGGCCCCTTCACCCAAACAGCCTGGGCTCCATTCCCAGGCTGTGGTCACAAATTCCCTACAGGACTAAGGATGGGACTCTAATGTGGCTTCCCATGGCTCCGGGAGCAAGCCACCAGCGTGTCCTCAAAGCTTGTGCTCGGAGATGTCACAAAACTCTTGTGAACGACTTCTGAAGAGTGTCCAGAAGAGAGCATTCTCGGTGCAGGGGGCCTCTGACTCCCTGTCCGTTCACTGACAGCTGCCCCAAAGGAAAAGGGCCAAGAGAGCCACAGGAGCCCAGGGGTCTCTGCATGGCTTACTCAGCGCTCACTTTTCACCTGTTGGAGGAATCCAGGAAACTGCAGTCAAACAAAGAGTGAAAAGTAAAAAAAAAAAAAAAAAAAAAAAGAAAGAGTAGTAAGGGTCGAGCTATACGGCTAAAAGGTGCGGAAGCACAAAATGTTCCTTTCTCTTTTCTAACCAAAAGTCAAATATGATTCTCCATTGCACTCCCCACCCCCAATCATGAAAGCTCATTACACCCAGCTGCCTTTTGTTTGCATACGAGTCCATTATGTTAGTGACTGTCCTTCAGGCCGGAGAATAGAAATGGAGGAAAGATAGTAAAATCCAGAGATGGCCTCCAAGGAAGCAGCATCTCCCAGACCCATGTCAACTCAGATGGGACTATAACAGCTCGCAGGCGACCTGCACCGACTCGAGCCAGACACTAGACACAAAGCCCCGCCCCTAAACAAGAAGCTTTTTTTAAAAAAATAATTTATTCCTTCTGGGACAGGGAAATCAGTTTTCTCCAACGAAGTGGTGCTAGGTGTATCAACCACAGTTCAAGGCAGGCCCCCACGCCCAAGAGCTACCAACACACACACACACACACACACACACACACATGACGGTGCATTATTTTATAGGCCTTTTGTTTAGCTTTGTATTGGTGTGTGTGTGTGTGTGTGTTTGTCTGATTGCCGTCTTATTTTCTGGCATATATTTTATTCTTCTCTCATACATTACATCCTAATCACAGTCTCCCTTCCTTTCATTTCTTCCAGGAACCACCACCTTATCTCTCGTCTCCCTCAGACCCACCCTTCCCATCTCTCTTGATTTTCATTTATTTGGGTGGGTAAGGGAGGAGAAAATTAAGTTGACTTAATTAAGGCAGGGAGGGTCTGTGAGGAGCTTGAGGAGGGAAACACGATAAAAAATTTCAATAAGTAAAACCACTCAAACAGAAAAGGAGATGGTTCTAGCTTAAGACATTAAAACTAATTTTCAGACAAACTAATTTATAACAGTAGAAAGTAGGCAGACATTTGCCTGAGATTGGGACGAGCTGGGTGACGGGCGGCAGGGATGTGCAAAGGGAACTCTGGGAATAAAGGGATGTCATGCGTCTTGATTGAGCTGGTGATGACATGAGTGCCTGTGGTTGTCAAAAATCTATCAGACTGTACCATAGACTTTTCGCACCTTTTCTGTGCAAGCTGAAGGAGTTGTTCGTGTGAGGCTGGTGTGAAGAAATGATGGGAGTTCATTGCATGAGCCCAAGCCTTTTTCCCTCATGAAGTAGGGGACAACTGTGACATATCCAGGGTCTACCAGACGACCGCTGGGGACCTCCTTTTGTACAGTGCATCTTCTCATAGTGAAACCCCAGGGTCCCTCAACTCCCTGGATCTCACAATAACAGAGGCAGATATTGAAACCGGTCAAGAGCTTGTAGACAGATCACATGTCCCTCGTCCTTTGCAGCATTCCTGAGATCCCCCAGATCAATTTAAGAAGAGATACAAATAAATAAATAAATGATTTGTCCCTGATAATGATTCCACTATATGTAAAGAAAATGAGGACCAGAATGTCATGTGACTTTTCTATAGCCCCATAGCTAGCCCAAGGAGCTGGTCCCCATGACAACCTGGGATATTTTGTCCCAAAGTGCATGCTGTCAGTGGCTCTGATACAGTCTTTCTCTCCTCGTGGTGCTCCTCTTCTTTGAAGATTGTGCCAAGAAGGTGGAGCTGTAGGAGAAAGCAGTCAGGGAGGCTGAAAAGGTGGTTTCAGTGCTTAAATTTCATGGAAAAGGTGCTTATTAATTAAACAATAATTTCCTTATTCTCTTTTTTTTCCTTTGTAAGCACTGAGTTGCAATGTCATGGGGGATATTCCAGGACTCTCTGAATGATGAATCCCAAGGAATTTTCCAGTCTTCACATAACTGAATCACATAACTGAAGAAACAAGCAATTGCCTGGACAAGAACAACATACTGGTGCTGGGGAGACATGGGGAGACTTCTGAAAGGGCTGGATGAGGCCAGAGTGATGCAGTGTGGTCTAGCCATGCATGGATGGCCATGTATTCCCAGGGTCTAATGGAGGTGCTCAATTTCTTTTAGTTGGGGGAGGTTATATTCTTTTACAAATGCAGGAAGGCTAGAATTGAGGACTCACGTTGAAGGGGAAAAAGGAATGGGCCTACCTTCATTGTGTTAATCTAGAAACATTCTAATGATCCCTATCATTAGAGATTCTTAGGTTAAATGAAATTGCATTTCAGTGTACATTTGCAGAAACTAACTTCAAAGGGCTTAATGTACGAATTCATTATTTTGTGAGAAAAGTTATACACTGAGACACAATACCTATTTGCAAAAGTCATTGACCTAAAATAATTTACCCACCTATCTGTCACACACATTTAACCTTTAGTTTTGCCAAAAGATAACAGAAGATACAGAAGGTAGCAATATCTTTGAAAATGTTATTCTTGCATAAGAATTAACAAAAGCAAATTAACACTTGAATGCTGTATAGAATATGTTTTCTCTGTTCTTATTAAAAGCTGGGGCTTTATTCATACCTTAAAAATGTTTGGCATATGAAGGACACAGCATGTTTAATGGGGCTTGTGGTTTAAGATCATTCATTATAAGACCAGAAAGATACTGAGAATTTTCAATAAAAATATTTTGTCAGTGAAGGAAAAACCTATTTTAAAAGCAGTGGTTCCTAAGGAATTGTGTATGTGGTGTGCGTGTGTCTGTGTGGCGTTATGTACACATGAGTACAGTATAGATGAAGACAAGAAGAGAAGCAGGCCATTGTGAGCTGCCTGTGGTAGGTGCTGGGAACTGAACCCCAGTGCTCTGCAAGAGCCACTCATACCCTTGCCATCTGAGCCATCTCTCTGGCCTCATGTGGAACTGAACCCCAGTGCTCTGCAAGAGCCATACATACCCTTGCCATCTGAGCCATCTCTCTGGCCTCATGTGGAACTGAACCCCAGTGCTCTGCAAGAGCCACTCATACCCTTGCCATCTGAGCCATCTCTCTGGCCTCATGTGGAACTGAACCCCAGTGCTCTGCAAGAGCCACACGTACCCTTGCCATCTGAGCCATCTCTCTGGCCTCATGTTTAGCTTTTGGCAAACACTACAGACCACGCCTACTAGCTTGTAACATCAACACACCTAAATGTACGTCATCAGTACGCAGTGGGTATGAAGACATTCTCCACTGCCATGTTTATTGTTTTCACAAAGGCCAGCGCTAGAAAACTATGTCCTTTCCACATGTCTTGGTTAGAGTAACCTTTTCCGTAGTGTAAATCTTGTGATTGGATTCTTTTCCAGACCTGTGATTAATTGCTCTAAAATTATTCTCAACCACATGAGTTTCTGCTAAAGTTTTTGTGAATTTTGTCTCCAACTTTTAAATTGAAGTAATTCATGATGATTTCACATTGACTATTTCATTCGGATGTTCAGTAGAGTACAAGTTTTCTGAAATTGCTCAGTTAGCCTCAAAGGCAGCACTAGCAGGGTCTGGGGGTGTGACTCAGTCGGTAGAGTCCTTTCTTAGGGTCCATGAATTGGATATACAAGTACAGGTCTGCAATTCCAAAATTCTGGAGGTGGAGAGAAGATGGGAAATGCAAGGTGTACCTGGCTCCCTTGTGGTTTGGGGATTAGTCTGGATAAGTGTGATCCTGTCCCAAATAGGAAACAAGACGATGTACACATGCAACATTCGCAACCCACGCTTACTAAACATGCTAGAGGAAAAGCAAAGAAAGAAGGAAAATGAAATTCATGTAAACGGACGCTAATTTGATAGAGTATGAGTAATATTTCAAAGGTTCAAAAGCTGTAGTACTGTCTCAGCACTCTCAGGAGTGAATAAGGACTGAGGTGACACACAGCAGACTTGCCTGCTCAAGGCTCTTCTTAACATGGTTTCCTGGAATGCAGAGGTCACGGCTGTAGTTCTGTAGGCATTTCTTTCACACACTGCATGGGCGTGATAACTATGTGATTGGACAACAGATGGTTGTGAGGTGTTGTGGCGTCTGGGCTGTTGAAGTAGAAAGATTGCGTGGCCTGCATAGCTCCTTGCAGCCTCATCTGGTGAGCTACTGCAGTAACATAGCAACGGCGGTGAAAAGGAGGCTTTCATTGACTGCCTCAATGTGTAAATGCATTCACATAACCATACATAGCAAAATCTGTTCAAAATGCTACTTCGTTGTTGGAGATGAGCAGAAAGTGCTTGCCTCAGGTAATCTTCAGTGTTCCAGATGCATCTTATGGCATTGGTACTGGAAAGGCCTGTATTTTCCCTAATTAATCAAAACAGCAACAAAATACAGCTTAACCTAATTTATGTGAACATGAATTCATAGTTTCTAAACAGGGTATGTGGGCAAGTCTTTCCTTTTTGTCTTCTATTTAATTCATGAACTATTAAGAAAATAAGGAGATATCACAATGTTCAGACCCAGATAACTACAAGCACATTGTGAAATGTATGTGTCCTTTATAGGTTATAATATATTGGGTCTTTGTACATACATTCTATCAAAAATAGCATTTGTGAGGCGGTAATGAACGTCTTGCCATTCAAGACTCCAGACACCAACACTCGTGAAAATGCAAGGA